CACAGTCTAATGGTCTGCCAGGTTCCTGACATAGCCAGTGAATATTAGTACAGACTTTTTAATCAAGAGACTCTCAGGCTGCCGCCCATTGCTAAAAGTACATGTACCAAAACATCTGGCTGCCAGCTGCGCTTGTGTGCGCCGCTCCTAATGAAATGTCTGATTTTCTGATCCATTAGTCCAGATCTATACACATTTAGAAACTCGTGTGTCCTGCATATTGTCCGACACGCTCTTCAAACAGCAGGAGGAATGAGGATTAAACTGACATTGACCGTTCACTCTTGTTCGTAACTACGATCACATGACATAATATATAGCTGAAGTCAGAATTATTAGCCCTCCTAAACTATTAGCTCCCCTGTACTGCTTTTATTCTAGCTGAAATGAAACAGAAGACAAAATATTATCGGAAATACTGTGAACAATTTCTTGCTCTGTTAAACATCATTTAGGAAATATTTGAAAAAGAAAAAAAAAAGAATTCTGACTTCATCTCTGTATGTATATACACACACAATCAATTAAACATATTCTAGTAACTTCTGCCAACTTAAAAATGGACCAACACAAACACATCTCTCTAGAAAGCCATGAGTGTGTTACGCTTCAGAGCGACGATGCCTTTTGCTGTCTTGAAACAAGAAAGCAAACTAGATCTAACCAGCACAGGGGGAGCTGTGGACGTCCCAGATGCACAACAACAAGACGAGGAGAGGAACATCAGAGTTTGGAGTCTGAGAAACACAGCCCTGACTGCTGCTTTACTCAATACTACACACTAAAACATCAACAGCTGAGAGGAGACTTGCAACAGAGATCTATAAAGCTGACACACAAAGAAAAGCCCAGAAGACTGAGATAGATAAATAAATAAATAAACAACTGGACGGTAAACAGATATCATGTACCGCTATCTCTTGACAGCAAGTAAAAACTCATATTCCTCACCTCATGTCCACCTGTTTAGCCACACAAATCCAGTCTCAGTTTTATTTGAGCTACATGTCCCATTTTGACAGGGAATAAGACTTAAACTTAATAAAATATCTCCCTCAAGAGCTGACATTCTCATATCAGACCTTATTCCTCAACCATTAGCACAGTGTGAAAACATTTTTCTTACTTGCCGAACCTTTAAAGGTGCAGCTCATGGTCAAGAGGAATTCGACACCCTGTCCTTTATTAAAGGGCTGCCAGACCTCCCCTAACGTTAGTAAATGTCATCGCGTTCGAATCACTCTACTTTGACTAAATACCATCTGCCAGTATAGCTAATGTAACCAAGTCTGGGCATGTATAACATGAGAGTTTGCCAAGCTAGCTGAATACCAAACTACCCGGCAGCCATCTTAATGCAACGTTCATAGGCAGATGATTTAAAAAAGCTGTAAAAAAAACTCTCTTCTACATTCTCTTTTCTTCTGTAGGTTGCTGAAACCATTATTTCAATTAACTTTGAAAATAATACTACTTTAATAGTTGAAATTGTGGAGGAAAAACTACATCACCCATGATGCAATGCATTAAATTCCACCAATCACAGTAGCAGCAAGCAAATGGAGTTAATTAGTTGCTCACCCCCTTTTCAGTTCTATTTACTTTTACTTTACTTTTTAAATTACCTTTATTAGTTCATTGAAGCTGAAAACACTGCAAAAATGAAATGGCAGGCCAGAGTCCTGGCCTAAACCTGATTGAAAATCTCTGGAAAATCCTTAGCGACAGAGTTATTGCTAAAAACTCACCACGATCATTGAACAGTAGAAGATACTAGAAAAACGAGTAGCTCAAGATCACAATAGATCATACCATTGTGTTTTCCATATAATAAAAGTATTTTTTTAAGGTTTTTTGCAAAGCACTGTTCATCTAGCAGTGAAACCATTATTTTAATTTATTTTGAAAACAATACTACTTAATAGTTGAATTTGTGGGGGGAAACTCCATCACCCATGATGCTATGCTGTAAAGTACACCAATCAGAGTAGAAGCAAGCAAATGGAGTTAATTAGTTGCCCACCCTCTTTTCAGTTTTATTTACTTTTACTTTACTTTGTCATTTAGCTTCATTGAAATACATAAATGAGCCCTTTCACACAACCAAACAGGTAAAGCAGTTCATTAAAGCTGAGAACACTGAAAAAAAAAAAAGAAATAGTATGGCCAGAGTCCTGACCTAAATCTAATTAAAAATCTCGGAAAAATCCTTAACGACAATGTTATGGCAAAAAAAAAAAAAAAAACTCATTACAACGATTGAACTGTAGAAGATACTGAAAAAAAAGAGTAGATCAAGTTTACAGTAAAGCATACTACTGCGTTTTCAACATTATAAACGTTTTTTTTTTTTATGTTTTTTTGCAAAACACTGTTCATCTAACATGACATACCCACAACTAAAATTCCTTCAAACTCTGAACAATGAAGATTACATTATTTCTATAAGGAAAAAAGATAAATTATAGTGTTTATATCTGGTACCAAACAAGGCAAAAATTCTGCATAAGAAGGGTACAAAGTCTGAAAAATGAAACAGGAGAAAGTTCTGAAAGTTAATTCTCAAGGAAGCGAATACACAAATATCTAGGCTACCATCGCAAAACCGCATGTGGCTAAATAAGCAGGTTAATGAATGATTATTAAACTTGTTAGATGGGGAGAGCATAAGTAGATAATGAATACCTGGGAAAACCAGGGAAGGTCCCTCAGACGGCATCATTAGAGAAGAGGAAGGCCAGATAGAGAACGCCAAGGGACAAGAAGAAGGTCGGATTTTAAGCTAGGCCTGAAACTGTCTGCTTACAGCTAACCTGCTTACTGGTGTGTGGTATTTTCAGACACATCAAAAACTTGACAATGAATGAAATTGGGTTTAAGTATGGCATATACTGCTATATTTTTTTATATATATATTAAGCTACCTAAATGACATTCTCAAATATTTGCTGACATTAGACATTTTTATATAAAAAATATATGTTTAAACCTTGGTGTCAGTAAGACAAAAATCTATAAGGAATAATTAAGTATATTGAGAAAGAATGCATTAATTGAAACAACAATGGCAGTTAAGAAATGTAGCATTTATTCGGACCTTTAATTCCTCATTTATCCTGACAAAATGTGGCAAAAAATCAGCAGCACAATTAGAGCAGATTACATTTACATTTAAAAAAGCATCATGCTGGAAATGTCAATAATCATAATACTAAAAATATATATGTTTTATACTTATGTTACATACATGTTTTATATATTCAGCAATTGTTTAATTAGTTGAATTAGTTAAATAGTTGTTTAATTAATTTTTTTGTTTTTTAAATGCTGCACATTTCATGTTCAAGTCATTTTGGGCATATTTTCTTATATTATACTAACACAAAAATATATATTTAAATATTATTTGGAAAGAAAAATCTAACATTTGAAACATTTGAATAGTTGAACAAAAACACACACACACACACACACACACACACACACACACACACACACATACACACACACACACACACACATACACACACAAACA